GGCACCTGATGTTTTAAGTGAACTATTCTTCATTTCGCCGATACTCAAACATCTCTCTATCAAAATGTTTCATGTTAACGAGAACAATTTGAAAATTCGTCCTCCAAATTCATCAAAATTATCTTCTGTTCAATATTGTCACATACAACACATAGAAATCAATTTATTGAGTTTACTTACTGTTGCACCTATGCTTCACACATTTGAAGGTAGGTTTTGGTCTTCTAATTCTAATTTGATATTAACTAGAATTTATCCTCGTATATTTTATTTGCAACAATTGCGAATCAAATTGTGGACTATCACTTGGAAAAATATGACAAATTTACTCTTATCATTTCCACAACTCATCTATTTAATAGTTATTGCTGAAAATGTCAATAGTGATATGGCTGATGGTTTTGCCTGGGCAAGATTATTACAACACATCAAACATTTCGAGTTTAAATTGGAATTCTCCTACAATGCATTCGAACAAGAACCACTCAATCTTGACTCATTTCGTACGAAATTTTGGCTTGAAGAGAAAAAATGGTTTGTTACATATGATCGAAGCACAAGTTCTGATGATCTTTCAATACTCTATTCGAATTATTTTTCTATGATCGTCTATCCACCACATGAAATATTTGGAACATTAATATCAGAAACAACAGCAGCAGAACTGGGAACATTTTCACATGTTCATCCCCTGACAATTTATAATCACTATCTGAAATATCCATTCGTATATCGATACAAGCATATTAAAGAGTTGCATTTGTCAAAAGTTACTACTGCATATTCTATGTCGTTCAAAGATTTCGTAACTTGTATTGATACATCACAAATTATGAAATGTATCGTTTTTTCCGAATGGATTGGAAACTCATCTTCCGAACACATCGAATTTTTACATAATTTGCCTCGTTTGCGTTGGCTTGAAGTTTCTGTTTTTCATCTCAATCATCTTTTTCGTTATCAATGGTCTCATATCATTCATTTGAAGATTGACAATGACCGTGAGGGTAAATCTTATATATTATCTTCCAATGATATCGATTCACTTTGTCATTCGTTTCCTCATATTGAACGACTTGATATTTATTCGTCACATGTTACTGATCTATCACAACTTCTCAATAGAATGAAAATAACATTAACAGATATAATTATTAGACAATCACACAATGTCAATAATCAACAATTGATAACACGTCAATGGATTGAACGAAATATAAAATTGAAAAATTTTCACTATAAATCCAGATGTGATTTTATCAAACTATGGCTTTGATATCTCTGTCACATATTGATTTATTTACTTTTTTTGTTGTATCTATGATATTCATTTTGTAAAATTAATTTACATATTATATTAGTATTGTATTTCGCACAAACACAAACGATCTAAATGAACGTCTGAATGTGATTATTTTCCGGGCAGACAAGCATGTCACTTTTTGTACTAATTTAGTATCAAAAAAAGTATGTCTAATTTTTTATATAGTTTGTTCTCTTTTTACAGATTTTTTTGCATCTAAATTTTTGATGGCAAAAAACGGCTACTTTTTTTTCTCAAAAATAGTGAAAAACTTTTGAGCGTTTAAACGCATTAAAAAACATAAAATTAAGTGTCAAATTGTATGCAATTTTTTTGAATTATTTTCGAAAATTTTATTTTATGCGTTTATTAGTTGTATTTGGGTGGGGTGTGGGTGTGGGGTGGGGGTGTGGCTGTGGGTGTGGGTGTGGGTGGGTGTGGGTGTGGGTGTGGGTGATGATGTGGGTGTGGCTGTGGGGTGTCGGTGTGGGCGTGGGTACGCGTGTACGTAATGTCTTCCAATCACTCACACCCACACCGATACCCACACACCCACACCCACATCCACACCCACACACCCACACCCATACCCACACCCCACATCCACACCCCACATCCACACCCCACACCCACACCCTCACCCATACCCCACACCCACACCGTATTATATTTTGCTTCAAAATTTAAATTAAATAAAGTTGTGCACTCTTTTCAAAACATTTCGACTTCATTTGGGTCTACACGATATGCATGATCTCGCGTCGAAAACTAACAAGTATCTGGATATATTTCTTTCTAAGAAGTTTTTTCAATTCAACTGAAATAATTGATTTTAGACATTTTATTATCAGTCTATGTATGTTCCATTTATGGAAATGTAGATAGGAAACGTTATTTTATATGAGGTCTTTGCATTAACTTGGGCGACTTGCACGAAAATAGGGATATTCTCTTAGAATATAACTAACATTTATTTTATCATGAACATTACTTTTTCAAATTCATTATTATTTCATCTATTCTGCATATTTCGATTCGAAAACAATGTTGTTGATGAGAAATAAAAAATGATTACTAATCAACAATTTTTGCATAAACTTTTAAAATACGTAATTCATTTATAAATTTAATTGGTTCTTGGTGGAAAATAAAGGATCATGATATAGATTTTTGGTTTAATGATCTAAATTATCGAATATCACAATGAAATGAAATTAAGCCATGTCTTCAGTAATTGTTATGAACCTCCAATTGATTTCATGCCAACAGATAAATTTGATCCTAATACCGACGTTTATGATACTAATGATAAAATGCATACATCATAATATATTCGTCATCATCATTTCAACCAAATGGTTCTATGAAACTGAAAGAATTATCTGATGAGCCAATTTTTGATTTTTTTTAACATTTACGTGTAACCCTATGTATATATTAAAAATAGATGAAGAACAATATATAGATATTACTTTTCAAATGAAATTCTTATATTATTTGGTTTGTTCCTTCATCAATTTTCTCCTACATTGTATGACAGTGAAAGAAGACAATATATTTATGCAGTAAATAGAAATAAACCTTATCACAATTTTTCAATCGAAAGTGATATTAGATTCAGATGAATGTGTCCAACAGTCAAAAGAGTCTTTCCTCAAGAGAATTTCAATGTTCGCTAAATCGTAGACATATTCGAACGACAATCAAATTTGAAGATCCCCATTTGTTTTATAGATTTCATTGTTCATATGTATTACTTTCATTTATTTTTAAAAATTATTTCATTTTCAAGGAATAATGTTTCCTTTTCATTTCACAAAGGATTAAATATACTGAAAATCAAGCCTGATAACATTAATAATGAAGAAATCATTGTTATATTTCCTTTGGCAATTTTTCTTCCATTTTCGTCTATTAAACTATAATTGATAAGAATAACTTTCACTTTTGAAACTGTTTCATCACTATTACATAAATCACGGTTGCAACTAATTTTAAGCGACGTATGATCTTTACTATCATAAAAAGTAACATAGGGTTGATTAAATGACTCGCAACCACGTGACGTAAATGTCTTTTCTTGTAGATCATATTGTACACTACACTGTTCTTTAGATCCACATGTGGCAAGTGCGTTTCTATATTTATAACATTGAATTGTACCATTTCTTGAAGGATTCTCAATTATTGGAGCCATCTCTCCATAAATTATTTCAGGATTGTAAACGCGATTAGACATTTCATAAACTCTGTCATTTATATATGGAATAACACAATCAGTTCCTTTCGAGCATTGATAATTAATGTCGTAACTTAGGTATTTTCCAGATGATATATAAAAATAATCGGATGATATCGGAAGGGTGTCGAATGTTACTTGATATGACCTAGTTCCATAGTTGAACTGTATTTTAACAGAGCAGCTAGATCCAGATTCACGTTGTTGACATTGTCCATCAGGAATTTGAAATGGTTGGTAAAAAGACAAAGGACCAACTGAACAGTTAGTTCTGCATTGTAGAGCAAAACTACTGCTTGTTGTTATCAGTAAAATTAATAACAATACGGACATTTTGTATTTGAGCTGATAATGCAAAAGAGAAAAGTTGCTTTTTATACTGCTTATCAATAAACACGTGGAAAGTCTGTGATGCAAAAGAGAAAAGTTGTTTTTATACTGCTTATCAATAAACACGTGGAAAGT